CCCCCGCCCACCCACACACACACAAAAAGGGAGGCTGGGGGTGAAAGAATGCTGTCTGGCCAGCACCACCACCCACAGCCCTGAGCTCCCTGTTCTCTGTATCCACTGTTTGACACAAGGCCAGAGAGAAACTCAGTCTCTCTTGAGTTCTGAGAGGGCTCTGCCCTCTTCTGGTGCGACCCCTCGGAGGCGTGGTCTGGACTCCCCGCTCATAGGAGAGAGTCTGGGTTGTCTTTCTCCCCCTCTCTTCCCCCTTCCAGGAAGCATCTGAGCCAAAGGTTCCCAGGCTTTGGACCCCAACATTGGGAAGACCCCCAGGTGCCCCTTGCCAGTGTCTTCTGCAAAGCCTCTAGTGATGGGGCTTCCTTGGTCGCCTTGCCTGCCCTCACCTTCCTCTCCCTTCCGCCCCAGGAGCCTTCCTTCCAGCAGGAACCTGACCCACATTCTTAGCCTCTGAGCCCCTTTCCTTCCTAAACTGAGCTCTGAACTGTGCGCCTCCAAGCGGTGTCATGTGGTGCCCCAGCCCAGGGTCCCAAGTCCTACTTTGCCACTCTCTTGACCCTGAGCGGGTCCTCGTGAGGGTGGAGCAGCTCTAGGGAATGCCAACCATAGTGTGGCCTAGCACAGCCTGGCACTCTGCCTTCTTGGCTTTTGCCCTCTGGGACAGGTTGCTGGGTTTTATTTGTATACTTCTCTCATCTCGTCTCCTACCCTACCTTGACCTCAAGGTCAGGAGGCCTGCCTAACTAACTAGCAAGTCAAGGCAGGCCTCAGTTTCCATTACCCAGTCTCTGCTTGAGCAGCTTTCGGAAGGATGGGAAATATATTCCTACAACAGGCAGCCAGTTCCCCGTGGGACATCCCCTTCCTCCCTGTAACATCCACTCCCTGTAACGTGTGCCCATGTTTCCTGGAGCCGAACAAAACTGATACCCCAGTCTTAAAGCGTTGTACATGGCAGGCTGTCTCCCACACGGAGAAGTTTTTACCCATAGAATATGTGGATGGAAATGAATTTCACGAGCCGGTGGAGACCCCGAGACATTTTACTTTATTATTTTTTTAAGTTTACTTATTTTGAGAGAGAGTTGAGTGAGTGAGCACACAAGCTGGGGAGGGGCAGAGAGCGAAGGAGAGATGGAGAATCCCAAGCAAGCTCCATGCTGTGTGGGGCTCGAACTCTCGAACCTTGAGATCATGACCTGAGCCGAAACCAAGAGTTGGGACACTTAAGCGACTGAGCCACCCAAACTCCCCATCAGAGATGTTTTAGAAAAACCTATCAGTGGGGTTTTAACTGCTCAGTCGGTTAAGCGTCGGACTTCAGTTCAGGTCATCATCTCACAGTTTGTGAGTTCGAGCCCTGCATCGGGGGAATTTGAGCTCCGAATTGGGTAAGTTTGAGCCCCGCTTCTCTCTCTCTCTCCCCCTTTCTGCCCCCCCCC